ATGAAAGTGGCACATTTTGTATCTTTGAGAATGCAAGTATTTTAGTTAGGGAGTGATGTTCCGTCTATGGAAGACTTTGCCTGTCTCCATCATAGGCTTGGAGAGGGTGTCCCGTGTCCCAGCAGCATGGCTCTGTATAGTCATTGATTCTTTTGTTTACTTCTCCATGTCCTTCATTTTGTTCCTGTCCCTTGACCACAAAGAAATAAATGAACATTCCCGAGGCACTGACATGGGCCGGGCGAGGTGGGAGCCTCCTTCTGGATATTATTATCCTGTTTAAATGCATTATTTTCCCACTCATTTCACGATTGCCCAGTATTCAGAGAAGTTACATTATGCAGCTGAAGCTCCATAATAAGTGCATGGAGGTGAGATTTGAACCCACGTCTTTCCCATTCTGCTTTTTGTGCCCTTCTGTTTTATTTTGCTTCTTGGTATTCCTGTGTATTATTAATAGTCTGAAGCTTCGTAATAGATGCAATAGTCATTAGAGTAAAGCAAATACGGTATTGTACTCTCTGAGGGATAACAGGGACATTTTTGTTTAATTGCTATTTTGATTGTTCTTTTAAGAGTGTTCTCGAGGAAGGAAAACAGAGGGAAAGACCAGCAAAACTCACTGTGTCTAACTTTTGCCATATGCATGGACCTAATTTCTCCCTTGCCAAGCAATACAGGCTTTATTTTTGAGACTCTTTGAGGGTGGCTGAGTTCTGCATGCTTGCTGGGGTTGGAAAAATCTGGTGTGATGGGGGTCAGTGGCTCCACGACATGCCGAGGCGGAGTAAGCCACAGAGCTCAGTCTGCCATAGGTGTGGCCTCCTTCCTTCTTCACATCTGTGTCAACACCTGGCAGGAGGTGCCTGATTCCAGTGGGGATGGAGCAGCCTCTGCCCATCCCTCCCACCCATCAAGAGCCTTGGACACACATGAGGTAGAACCCCCAGATGGTGGCTGCCAGTGGAGTGTGTCCACCTCTTACTTGGGCCAGGTGTGTGGCAGCTCACTACGGCAGGCGTCCCGTGGGCGAGGTCGGTGCTCTGCTGATGTCTTTGATAGTTTTCTTTATCTGGCCTAGTCTGAAACCAGTACTTTCCCCTGCCTGTGACCCCTGACTTCATTTGCAAAGTTTTCTCATGCACTTTCTGAAATTTTCATGACAGAGAGCCCTGGAGAAATTTGGGGCAGTGATAGAGGTAGAAGAAGTTTAGAGCTGGGAATCTTTATGCATTTTCTCTGTTTTCTCCTTCTCTTTATTTTTTTTTCTTGACCTATGCTTCACACTGGTCTCTGTCTTCTCTATGCTTGGAAAGCAGAGGAGGCTTGAGCTTCCAGCAAAGACCTTGCCACATATTACTGGAGACAGGCCAGTGCACGGCAGGGGTGGGTGGGGAGGGCCAACAGGAGAGTGTCCCTCCCCTGAGCATCACTGGCTCTGTTCTCAGCCAGTTACTCTTTGTCTCCACATTTTAGGTTCTCTTCCTGCATTCAAGCACGGGCAAGGCCAGGGCTGCTATTTCAGGACACGTCCAGCCCTGAAGTTTTCTCTGGGCCTCCACAGGGGACCTTCCTGCTCTGAATTCCACATGCATCCTCCAGGCCACACCGCAGGCCACACTGCACACTCACCCTACTCTCCAGCCGTTTCCAACTACTTAGAATTCAGTTTTGAGAGTCACCAGTCTTAGGTAGACTGGAGCCTGGCACATAGTAGGTGCTTTGTGCATGTTTACTGAGTGAATGAACAGAAAATGAAATGCACTTTGCCTAAAAACTGATCTGATCTGATCTGAGTGCCCAGGCACCCTTCTTCCGAAGCTCTCCTTTTGTTCCTGTGGCCCAGGGAATGCTCAGTTCCAGGCTTGGCAGAGGTGAGGTCTCTCTAGGCGGCGTGAAACAGACTGTGAAGCCCCTATGAGAAATAGCCTGCCCGCTGGGCAGGCCCCTCCGCTCCCAGGAGACTCCAGCCAGAGCACTCCAGTGTGGGGGCTAGGACTTCTCTTTTCCAAGGGAGAGTAGATAGCAGGGGGAATTCACCTCCGAATTATTTCCTGGAGCAGTTATGAAAGTAGCATCTCTGAAGTCACAGAGGCTTCAGCTCCACTGGGCTGTGAAAATCCCTTACAGAATTCTGACCCCAACCACGCAGAAAAGGGCACTGCCCCCTTTAAAACAGTTGACTGCAGAACAAAACAAAATGCTAAAATAAGACTAGTTTGAAAATATTGGAAAGTTAAGAAAAAACTCCCCCAAATTCTAATACTAGCATCATCATAGTATATAGCATATTACATATATAGCATATTATATGGTACATTATGTATACATTCTGTGTATACTATATGTTATATAGTGTACGTACATAGTATAAATTATTTTTCACATACGTATTGCTTTGGTATGTTTTCTTTCATGTTTCTGTTTATTTGGTAGATAGGCTTTTTTCCTGTTTTGTTTTACAACATGTTTATATCTGACACTAACATTGTATTATAAACGTTTTTTCCCATACTATTGCATAGTCTTTATAGCCACACTTAAAACATGAATCATTTATTTCTAAAAACAGTCAGGTCCATTTTATTTTGACTTCTGGATCCTGCCCCTCCCCGAGCACTCTCCCACTGCAGAACTGTGTTAGGCTCAGTTCCCCAGAGAGCCCTCAGGTTCTCCACACCGCAGGCACCATGCAAGCTTCTTGTGAACCCTGGGCAGCCCCTTCTGGGTCCTCAGAGCTCAGTTTAGATGCCACCATTGCCTGTTTGCAACACTGGCACATGTGCAGGTCCCTGTGTTCTGTACAGCTGAACTCAGGACTGCCTCATCACCACTGTCACTACCGCACCTTGCACAGGACCTGCATGCTGGGTGCTCTCAGCGAATGCTTGTGGAATGAACGGAAGAGGGAATCAATGAACAAATGACCTGGTGGTCGTTTTCTGTGTTTCCTCCTGGGGTTTTTCCTTTGGTGTATGCATTTTGTGTGTGTGTGCATAGAATAGGTAACACCAAATCTTTAATCTTTTTGTCCTTTTGCCTCCTCAGCATTTGATCATAAGCATAGTGAGCATCACTGTCCAAGGCTGCACAGTGCTTCGATTTGCATATGCATCCTGCTTTGTTCACCATATCTCTGGAGTTACTCATTTACTTGCTTGTTGCTTTCACCACTATAAACCATGATCAGCATTTGATCATAAGCATAGCGAGCATCACTGTCCAAGGCTGCGCAGTGCTTCGCATTGCGTATGCGTCCTGCTTTGTTCACCATGTCTCTGGAGTTACGCATTTACTTGCTTGTTGCTTTCACTACTATAAACCATACTTCATTTCCTTCTCCTGTTATGCAGATCTGACCCCTCAGCCTGCCTCTCCTAGCCATGGTCAGACTGTTGTTAGTCCAGCGCCTGAGGGAAGGTACTTTTGGAGTTCCGGGCACTTGTGTGACCCCCACCCTTAAGGTAACTCTTGGCACCCACAGGCCAATCAGAGCTCTCTGAGAATACAGGCTGGTGGGCTATACCCTAAGGAAAAACAGGGTGGGTTCTCACTGGGGTTGGAACTAGGGTCAAGGGGAGATAAGGAAATGGGAAGAGGCTGGATACCCTTGGTGGGGCTTCATAGTTTGATCTTACTTCAGAGTTGGAAAGCAAAGCACACCCTTCAGCCACAGCTAGTGGTTTCCCCACCTGCACCTGAGCTATGGACTGGGCAGGGCCAAGTGCCTGGCAGGGAGCACAGGGTAGGAGCAGGAGGTGGAGAAGCTAGGAGGCAGGCTGCAGTCGGCTCGTCGCCCTTCTCACCATGTGGATGTCTCCTCCCTTGGCCCTGTGGGAATATGGAGGGCTCACATTCTCCTCTCTGTGCAGGAGCAGGTCATAGGCCACACTCTTTGGGAAGACAAAGTTGACTTCTTTCTAACAGTTGCTGTCCTGTCATTCATTCACTCATTCATTCAGCAAAGGCTTCCTGAGCTCCTGTCCTGTTGCATGCATGATTAAGTACTGCAGATGTGAAGGTGAATTGACATATTTGGTTCTTAGAGTTTGCCTTCTAGCAGACCACAAACAAGTAAATACAATGTTGCATGTGGTGCATGCAGGCCTTTGGTGCCCAGGACAGTGGTGGCAAGGAGGAGGGAGTGTTGTCTGTGTCTGAGAGCACTGGGGAAGCCTCAAGGGGAGCCTGTGCCTGAGGTGCATTTTGGAATGAGTTCACAGGTATGATGGGAATAAAGCCATCCACATGTACTTGGGAGTTGGGGGAAGAGTGGGGACACATGACTCTCACAAGAAGCATGGCTCTGAGAAAATCGGAGATCGTACAGAAGCTGACAGGGAATGTGATGTGGACAAAGGGGCTGCTAGGCCTGGAGGCAGGTCTGGTAACCCGTGGAGCAGTGGGTTGACATTAGGATCAGTACAGAGAGGGCTGCGTGAGGAGCAAAGACCATGAAGTCCATGATCCTCCAACACAGTGGCCCTAATGCTGTGGCCTCCCTGTGCCCTCAACACTCAGCCAGGGCCAGAGGGAGCTTGAGCATGGAGTAGGGGCTGAGAGCACGTGGCTTCCTCATGATGGAGTCTACTTGTTGACAGATGACCCAGAAACTTCTGGAGGACCCCCAAGTCCCTAACGCAGTCCCCAGAGCAGGCTCTTTCCATTCACCTCCAGACTGTCCATTTCATGCTGGTTAATCCCCAGGAACCACTTCTGACAGGGGACTCCTACATTTCTCTCTACTGAGCGGTAGGGGCTGCTGCCCATGGGCATTTTCAGCAGAGACCCCTGTCCCCACTCTGCCTCAGGGAGGTGGGCCCTGGAGGATGGTGCCATCCATGCTCCTTGTCTCCTCAGAGGTGGTGTGGTCAGCAGACCCATCCCACAGACTGCGGAGGAGGCCTGAGCGTCAGGGTCCTGTCTGATGCCAGCTCATGATGCACTGTGCCTGAGTGATGGATGCCCATCTCACTGCCTGTCACTTCCTCTCTCTGCAGGGCCCTGTGGCCGAGTGTGTCCAGCCCAGTGTCACAGGGAGCTTCCACATCTCATGGCTCCTTGCTGGGCCAAGCCCTCCAGAACCCCAAACCCGCAAAGACTGATGGCTGCCAGAGTGGCCACCTTGCTTATCCTGTGGCCCCGGCCCTGGTGATCACCATGGCAGCTGGGAAGGGAGTCCCATTGAGCCCATCGGCTGAAAACAGATGGCGACTTAGCGAACCTGAGCTGGGCCGGGGCCGCAAGCCAGTGCTGCTGGAGAAGACAAACCGCCTGGGCCCTGAGGCTGCTGTGGGCAGGGCGGGCCGGGATGTGGGCAGTGTGGAGCTGGCACTGTTAGCAGCCCCAGGCAAGCCCCTACCTGGCAAGCCACTGCCCCTGAAGGCGCGTGGGGAGCAGAGGCAGAGCGCCTTCACGGAGCTGCTGAGGATGAAGGACTGGCAGGTGGATCCTCAGGCCCAGGAGAGGGAGCACGATGACCCCACAGGCCAGCCTGGCATCCTGCAGCTGACCCAGGACATCCCCAGAGGCCCAGCTAGCAGCAAAGTCTTCTCTGTGTGGCCCAGCGGAGCACGAGGTGAGCAGAGAAGCGCCTTTAGCAAACCAACCAAGCGACCAGCAGAGAGGCCTGGGCCAACCTCAGTCTTCCCTGCAGGGGAATGTGCAGACACCCTGGGGGAGCTGTCTGGACTCCTCAACACCGCAGACCTCGCTTGTTGGGGTCGACTTTCAACTCCCAAGCTTTTGGTTGGTGATTTCTGGAACTTGCAAGCATTGCCGCAGAATGCTCCACTCTGCAGCACTTTCCTGGGTGCCCCCACACTGTGGCTGGAGCACACCCAGGCCCAGGTGCCCCCACCCTTGTCATCCTCCACCACTTCCTGGGCCCTCCTGCCACCCACCCTCACCTCCCTGGGCTTGTCCACCCAGAACTGGTGTGCAAAGTGCAACCTGTCCTTCCGCCTGACGTCCGACCTGGTCTTCCACATGCGGTCCCACCACAAAAAGGAGCATGCAGGGCCTGATACACATTCTCAGAAGCAGAGAGAAGAGGCCCTCACCTGCTCTGTGTGCCAGGAGCACTTCCGGGAGCGCCACCACCTCTCCCGGCACATGACTTCTCACAGCTAGCAGGTGGCCGCAGAGTGACCTGCTGGGTGCGGCAGCCAGCCTTTGGCAGAAGGGGGCTCCCTGGGCCTGCCTTGAGGGGGATGTCATGGTCCTTTGCAGAGCTGCCACCTTTGACATTCATAGATAAACAGCTCAGGCATAATTTGAAAAAGCCACACCTGCATGATGTGTTTTGAGGGAAACGAAGTCCTGAAATAAAGTGATGGGCTTTGCAAATCCAGGGTAAAGGCCCTAACAGGCACAGAGAGCGGGGGCGACTCCTGGCACACATCATGGGCTTTGGAGGCACCCAAGCCTGGATTCGAATCTGGGCTCTTTCACATACCAGCTGTGACCCCGGACAAAGAGCTTTAACCTGCTGAGTCCCCATTTTCTTGTCTGTGAAGTGGAGATGATAACGCTGTGTATCAGGCTGGCATTCAGGTCACATGAAAGGCGTGCGGAAAGTGGCCAGCATTCTGCCTGCAGACCCTGAGCACTGAGTCAACGAGGTTTGTGATGATGTCTGTACTAGTCAGCTATTGTCATTAACAAGATCTCCATGGCATACAAGCTAAAGCATCTGTCTCAGTCATGAGTCTGTGGGTTGGCTCAGGTTAAGCTGAGCTTGGCTGGGCTTGGCAGCAAGTCTCAGATTTGATCAAGTCATGTTCGTTTTCTTCTTTGACTGGTGGGCTACCCAGAGCGAGCATGCTTCTTTTGCAGTTATGCCAAGAACACAAGAGGGTGAGTCTAACAAGCACACTTGAAGCCTCTGCTTGGGTCGCATTGCCAACGTCCTCTCAGCCCATACAAGTGGCAGAACCAGGCCCAATACTGAGGAGTGGAAAAGTGTAGGCTGCCCTTGATGAAGCTGTGACACGGGAGTGAGCATCCATCCCCTCCACAGGAGGGTGAAGAATTGGGATAGGTAATTCCAGCCAACACCTGGTCCATAGTTCTTTACATTGTGAGTATATGAGTAGAGGGAAATAGAACCCCCTCCCCACCACCTACACACATGCCCTTTTACCTTCCAAGAATAGGACATGTGCAAAAACTAGGCTTCCAGATTGTGAAGCTGGGGAGCATTCTAGGTACCATTTATTATCTACTGCATTTCGGTCAGTAGCTATTGTAGGTACCCGCATCGGCCCTTGTTCCTAAGGATGTGTGGAGCCCAGGCTGTACTCTTTGACATTGCACAGGTCAGTCTGCGTGAAAGCCCTTTGTGGGGAGTTTCCAAGCCAGTGTCGTTTTTGCACTGGTTTCCACCTCACTGTCAGATACTGTTCTTTGGATATGCAGTTTCCAGCCCTCCAATGAGCCCCCAGCACAAAGCTCAGGCTTGTGGCTGGGAATAAGCCAGGGTGAGCAGGTGGGGATCTCAGCCAGCCTCCCAGACTGCACCTCTTCTCTTGCTCTCCTCTGTCCACCCTTCCAGGCAGCAGCACTCCCACCTGGCTGCTCTGATGTCCTCACTGCCTCCATTCTTGCCTCTCACCATGCACCCATCCATTGCCCACACGCACACAACCAGATCATCTTCTGAACGTGTAACTCAGATGATTCCTCCAAACCTGTGGCTGCCCTTCACACTTACAGGCCTAAGGACCCAGCAGGCCCCAGCAGGACCTGCCAGCTGCTTCACAAACAAGTCCTTGCCTGTTGTTAATTGCAAACACTCATTTCACGTCCCTGTGTGCCACACAATAGCATAAGCACTGGAAGAATACAGATGTTATAGTGAGGCCTATCATAGCCCTGGGAGGCAAGAGCTGTTTCCTTTCCATTTCTACAATGAGTCAATTGCAGATGATGCTATAACACTTCCAGTGTTTCTGACACTCCCCTGAAGCTATGCCTGCTACCTTCATGGGCTGAGCTTGCCCTTATGAGGCCCACAGGTGGCAGTGGGCAGAGGGCACCCCGCTATACCACCTCGCTGCTGTTCTGCTGTCTGCTCCCGTGTTCTGACTGCAGCTCTCATGCCGTTTCTCAAGCCTGGGCTTCATTCAGCATTTTCTCTCTAGCTCTTTGTGGTGCCGCTCCTGCTGTGGTTCCACAGGGCTGCTTCTCACAGGTCAGCTCCTTAGAGAAGTCTCCCAGATTCCCTATAAAGCAGCCCTGCAGCCTCTGTCACTCCTGCCGCATCACCCTGTTGCTTCCTTCACAGCATGTCTCACCATCTGCAACCATCTTTCTGTTTGTTGTCTTGTTGATTTGCTGCGGCCACACTGTCAGCTCCTTAGGGGTAGAGATTGGTTTGTTTACTGTGCATCCCTGGTGCCCAGAACAGGGCATGGCGTACTGTTGGTGCATAATAAATATTGTGGAAATAATTTCTGTGTGAGAAGCTGGGTCTGAATATGTGTGCAATCTTCCTTTGGCTGTGGAGGGTCGCAGGAGGCTGCCATGTAGCTGGAAGCCTCCATGTGTACTGAGCTTCCTTCACCTATGCTGTCTCCCTGGCCTGGCAAGGGATTGAGTGAGTGGGTCCATTTCCATTCATTTATTCAGCAACCCTGGGCACTTTGAGCTGAGCCTCAAAGACAAGTATGTGCTGGTGATTTGGTGATGCAGGCAGGGGAGCAGTGGCTGAGGAGAAAGATCAGTCCAGAGTCTGCAATTGTGTCAGGGTGTGAGGAGGAGATGGCGGGGCAAGGTAGGAGGGCCTCACAGGAGAGCAGTTTGGACCGAGGGGACTGAAGGCTTGGCTCAGAGAGGCACTTTGGGGGTGCTCTCCAGCTGCAGTGGGGAGTGTGGCCTGGAGGAGGGAGCCTGGACCCCCTGAGCTCATTGTCTTCCACATCCAGAAGAGGGAAGGATGCTCCCTACAGATGCCAATAAAGCATCAGCATTCCCATAGGGACACTGGGAGGTCCCTTGCTCACTATGACAAGACAAGGAAAGTTCAGCCTTGCCGGCCCCTTTAGGTGCTGTGTGGGGGTATCATTTGCACACAGAGAGGTTGAGCACAGAAGGCAGCTGAAGCTACGGGAGCCTCCGTGTGTGCTGTCTTGGGTGAGGCAGGAAAGGGCAACTCAAGGTCTCGGCATGAGGCCCCACACTATGCACTTGACACACAGCAGCCGGGAGACAGATTGTTATTAATAATTCCCACCTACTGCAGATGACATTAAACTCCAAGAGGTCAAGGACGTTCCTAAGACCATGGGCTCAGGAGCATCAGTGCAAGAATAAGACTCCAGGACCCCAGATTGAGTTTTTCATGTCCTTTTCAGCCTGCTACCTGTCTGCCCAGTCCAGTGTGGTCATGTGGCATTGTGGATGGTTCAGGAACGGGGACAGCAGCAGGTGTAGGCTCCCTGTCTCAAATTCCAACTCATACCTGCTACGTGTAAACACACACACTTTCCTATCGCCCTTCTCTCCAGCACTTTCACTATCTTGCATACTAACTCTTTCACTGGTTTATCTTGCTTACCATGTCCCCTATCACTAGAATGTAAGCTCTGTGAGGGATTTTTGGTGGGTTTTTTTTTTTTTACCTGCAGCATTGCTGGCATCTAGATAATGTAGGCACATAGTAGGTGTTCAACAGACATTGGTCGAATGAATGAATGAATGAGATGCCTGGTTCTGGCCTGGCACTTGCCACATCTCAAATCAGCTTCTCGGGAGGGTTTTAGGATCTATCAAACGCTGTGCACAATTGTCCTTCTCTGGCTTAATTGATTGGTTTGTAATTTCTGTGAAATCTCTTTGAAAGGCAGAAATATGCCAAGACATGCAGACACTTAGAACTGAAGGGACTTTAGATTTCTAGACCACCCCCTCCCTGTACAACATTGGACTCTGAGGTCCACAGACATGAGCTGATGTGCTCAGCGTTGCAGGGCAAGTGGTGGTGAGGCCAAGGTTAGAACCACTGAGAGGTCTGGACCTTGCCCCATCCACAATCTATGAGGAACCTCAGCTACACCAAGCAACAGTTTACATTGCACGTGAATAGAACGGCCTCACATTCAATTATTACTAACCTCGACCAGTTACAGCATTCCCAAGCAGGATAGGCATTTAGGAAAACTTGAAGCTGTAGAAAACAGCACACTATCTTCCCCCAACTCTGATTTTTAACTTGGAGTTAATTTTGGTAAAAATGGATGTCGATCCAAATTGCTCACAGCCATTTAAATGGACAAACTCAAAAGTGATTTGTGGAAGTGATGGGTTTACAGCTTGTTAATATTGTGGTCCCTAATTATCACCAGGCTGGGTTCCCAGAGTCTGGGAGTCAAATTCTCTCTTAGCCCTTCTTCATTTCTGCCCTCCTGTATCTACTGGAGAGTAGACAAGGTAAATCATGGTTTTGCCCAAGCTCTCTCTACCACTTCTATGGTCTGAATGCTTGTGTCTCCCAAAATTTATTTGAAGTCCTAACCCCCGAGGTAATGGTATTAGGAGGTGGGGCTTTTGGGAGGTTGGAATTAGTGCCCTTACAAAAGAGTCTGGGTGCAGTGGCTCACACCTGTAATCCCAGCACTTTGGGAGGCCGAGGCGGGCAGATTATGAGGTCAGGAGTTCGAGACCAGGCTGGTCAATATGGTGAAACCCCGTCTCTACTAAAAATACACACACACACACACATACACACACACACACACACAATTAGCTGGGTGTGGTGGTGGGCACCTGTAATCCTAGCTACTTGGGAGCCTAAGGCAGAAGAATTGCTTGAACCCGGGAAGTGGAGGTCGCAGTGAGCCAAGATTGCACCGCTGCACTCCAGCCTGGGTGACAGAGGAAGACTCCATCTTGGAAAAAAAGAAAAAAGAAAGAAAGAAACCCCAGTGGCTGAGCACAGTGGCTCATGCCTGTAATCCTAGCACTTTGGGGGCTGAGATGGGAAGATTGCTCAAGGACAGGAGTTTGAGACCAGCCTGGGCAACATAGTGAGACACCCCTCTCTACAAAAAAATACAAGAATTAGCTGAATAAGGTGGTGTGTGTGCCTGTAGTCCCAGCTACTCGTAGGAGGCTGTGATGGGTGGGGTGGGTGGGGGAGTTACTTGAACTCAGAAGTTTAAGGCTGCAGTGAGCTATGATTGTGCCACTGCATTCCAGCCTGGGCAACATAGTGAGACCCTGTTTCTAAAAAATAAAAATAAACCGCAGAGACCTAGTTCCCTGCTTCCACCTTGTGAGAATGCAGCTTAAAGTTGCCATCTCCCAACTAGGAAGATGGTACCAAACGCCAAAGCTGCTGGCACCTTGATCTGGGACTTTCGAGCCTCTAGAACTGTGAGCAATAAATTTCTGTTGTTAATAAGTCACCCGGTTTATGGTGTTTTGTTATAGCAGCCTGAATGGACTAGGCAGTCACCTTCTATATGCCAGTTAAGAGTTGGCATGAGATGTTGCCACAATATATCACATCAGCAGGTATTAATTTTACAATCCTGGGTAAGAATTACTGCATTCCTTAAATTCTCTACGTCTAATTGAATCAGCTCAGCACCCCATCCTGTGGTCCTGGTGAGATACTCACCCTGTCACTGTTGAATTCCTAACCTGCCTCTCAAGCTCACAAAAGCTCCTCAATGCCCCACCTCAAGATCGTACCCTGTCCCTTGGTGCCCCAGGGTGTCCCCTTGCTGTTCTGGCCAGCTTTGCCTCTCTCCTCCACTCTCCTAGGATCTAGGGCCTTGGTGGCTTTCTGGCAAAGCTGTTGGTAGGCATGTGACCCAAAGACACTGAGTCGATGAGCAGAAAGTCTTGGCTGACCTCGCGGAACAGAGGAGGTTTTATCTACAGTAGCTGGAAACATGGCAAATTCTATCATAATAAATTATCTCCCAGCGGCAGCCATTCAATTCAGATTTACAAAAGTCCTCAAAATATGCTAATGAGGCTAAACTAAGACATTCTGAATTCAGATTCAGTTTGGTTCTCAATTTTAACAAAGGTCAACTTTTCTTTCTGTTGTTACCTGGGAGAGAAGTAAAACCACTACAAAGTTGGGCTCCTAGAATTCAACTTCTTGCCAATTCCTGCATCTCTAGACCAGGGATCCTAAGCTCAAAAGTCCATTGAAGTAGGCTAATGAGTGGATGGAGCTGCCTGTAAGTGGCAATGGTGGGGAGCTTAATGCCTGGGTGAAGACTGCACAGCCAGGCTGGATGCAGGCCTCAAGAAAGGCCAGAGTTCAGGTCTTTGTATGAAATTCGTTGTCAACTGACTCAAGAGTTTTGCAAGCACTGATGGATAACCAAAGTGGCATGGATTCATGGAAGCATGTCACTGGTGGTGATGGTTCAGGGTTGCCACCAGCCGGTGATCCCTTAACTCTGTTATGCTCCCAGCTTTGGAACAGGCCGGTGCTGGGCCTAGTGCTTCTAACCTCAGCCGTACCACCCTGTTCCTGTGAGCACTGAGACAGAGCCCTTATCAGGGGTGAAAGTCGGCCACAGTAGCCCCCAGACCAGCCTTGCACTCCTCATACCCTTGGAAAGTGATGGCGCCATCTGGAGGCAGCAGGCCTTCCTACAGGCCTCTTCCCTCGAAAGAGGGAATCACGCACCCTTGTCATTTGCCTAATTTTGTTGTGTTTTTAGAAGTCATGTGGTAGGTCTACAGATGGCATAGCAAGATCAGAACCTCATAGAATAAACCTTTTATCTGAAAAATAAGCCGTTCTCCAACATGTGTTGGGTTGTGACACTTCCTAGGAGAGAAGGTTCAGAAACCGTTTTGTTTGTTTGTTTTGTTCTGTTTTTGGAGACGGAGCCTTGCTCTGTTGCCCAGGCCAGAGTGCTCGATCTTAAATCACTGCAACCTCAGCATCCCAGGTTCAAGTGATTCTCTCACCTCAGCTTTCTGAGTAGCTGGAATTAGAGGCACCCGCCATCACGCCCAGCTAATTTTTGTATTTTTGTAGAGACGGGATTTCACCATGTTGGCCAGGCTGGTCTTGAACTCCTGACCTCAGGTAATCTGTCCACCTCGGCCTCCCAAAGTATTGGAATTACAGGCCTGAGCCACCGTGCCCGGCCCAGAAACCGGTTATGAAAGGGGTTAGGGGAGGCAGTGCCTGCAGGGAGAATGGGAGGGGTTCTCTGACGTTTTCTTTCCATTCATCTTGCCATCTCGTGTTTTCCTGGGGCAAGACGCAGGAAGCTACTGTCGTCTGATCCCATTGCTATTCTAAACTGCTTGGATTAGGAGGCTATTTTTAGTGCTGGCCACCCTGGTCAGCAAAGCAGAGAGGGGACCTAGGCCAGGTGGCAGCTAAATGCCATAGGAACCAGGAGATGGGAGGTGGGTGCCCCCAGGCGGGGATCTTGGAGGTGGGTTTCCTGGCCCGGAGTGTGAACCGGCTGTGTTGCTTTTCTTTCTGAGTCACATCGTGTGACTGCATCACAGCTGTGTGGGGAACCAGGGCCCTCTGACACACAGTCAGGGCCATCTACTGTGTGGGCCTGTGCGGGGCAGACATGGACACAGGAAGAGGAAACTCCTCCCTTATTGCTTCAGTCCAGCCTGAAAGCAGCAGGCCCACAAGGGTCCCCACATGGCCCCTTTGCATTCTCTATGGATGAAGCATATCACTGCAGTAGTCCCTGGTTCCTCCTTCCCTGGATGGGGGTCACCACGTCTCCAGCAAGGACTTCTTCTCCTTACAGAGCCTGGCAGAGGCATGGCTTATTGCTGACTAAGAGCACCTGGAAATGAGCCCCCAGCACCCAGAGTCACCACCCCCACCATGCCCCCCAGCTCTGTGCTGTCAGTCCCTGGTCAGACTGCAAAGATGCCCGTGAGTGGACTGTGCCCATGCCCTGCCCCTGCTGCTAACATCTGGTCCCCCAAGTCTTCTCTGGTGCCGGGGACCAGGTCTGAGACAGCTCTGTTTCCACCAGTTGCCCTGTGGCTAGCCTGGCATCCTCAGGATCTGCCCTGGAGGGGAAAGAAAGGCAGGGAGAGATGGACCCAGTATACCCTGAGTTCCTTTCTCTACCCAATGGCTCTGGCTTGGCTGCCCAGAGTGTGGCCTGGCCTTTGATGGTGAACAATAGGGAAACTCCTAGGCCTGTCTTGCCCCAGAGAGCCAGCTTTGAGTCCCTGCCAGGGCCTTTATAATCCATTTATTGTACATGCTGTCACAACAGGGCTGAGCTGACTCCTAGGGGCACTCCAGCACCCCTGGATGCCAGTCAAATGAACCCCTGCTTGGTCCTGGTTGACTTACCTCTCCATCACATCTGCAAGAAGGACAGATAAATATGACCTTCCAGAAGTGTCTGCATCACCTAACAGCCCTTCCAGTGAAGATGAACCCCTAGTTGCAGGTCAGGCCACAGAGATGGGGCAGGAAGCTGTGTCAGGGATTTAGGCACAAAGCTGGGACCCCAAGACAAGGCAAAGAAGATGGCAGGCTGGGTGCAGAGCAGAGTGACATTAACTCAGGTATTAACTTACCTTGGGTCCTGATCACTGGTGGACACTGGGTGAGAGGTGTGGGGGACAGAGAGGAGGGAGTCTGAGTGTCTGGAAGGAGGTGTGGCTATGTGCAAGATGTGAGCTGGAGGTAAGTAGGATTTGGCAGGATGCAGGCCATGAGCTCAGACCAGGGCATAGAGAGTTGAAGGGGCCCAGGGCTCATCTGAACAGAGACTTCTAGGCAGTTCTTGGCCATCTGGGTGTCCCACCAGAAAAGAGACCTGATGGGATTTTGTTTTCCTTTTGTTTTTCCTCCAGTCTTGTGCCTGCAAGCAGGTAACAATGCAAGAAGGCTTGCACTTAGGAAGGCTGAGCCTGTACTTTGCTATGCAGAGGACTTTCGCTCCTGTCTATCTCAAACCCCTTTTCCAGATCAGGCCCAGGGCCTCTTCATGATGTGGTGGAAACAGAAGGATCTTTGGAGCTGTACAGAGATGGGTTCAAATCCCACCTACCCTTTAACCAGCTGCACCAGACTGTGCTGTTCATTACAGAAAAGTCTTTGGTGGATGGAAACAGACAGGGATTTCATGAAAGACCCCGGATGGTGCCCAGTCCTGGATGGGTGGACTGGGGGACCTGGCTGAGCAGTGGGTAGGGACAATGGGTCACTCCACCAGGACCACAGCCAAAGTCACACCGGGAAGTCTGGGAAGCACCCCTTGAGGGTGCTGCTGCTGTCCCTGCTAAGCATAGGGCATGGCTGTGCTGTCCTTATACACTAGGCTTCTGGCAGATGGCCACTGCCCAGGCTCCCTGGCCACTTGCTTCAGATTAGACGTCTTGCACAGGAGCTTCTGGTTGACCAAGGCAGGACCACATGCCCATGCCCTACTGCCAGAAGGGCTGGAAAAGTGGGCTTCCAGGGTGTTCAGCTTTGTAGTGGAGAAATTATGACAGCTAACATTGGCTGGGCACTAGATTGGCTCACTTCATTCTCACAACTCCAAATGTATTATTATTTCTCCCATTGAACAGATGAAGAAACTGAGGCCCAGAGAAGTGAAACGAGTTGCCCAGAACCACTCAGCTGGGGAAGTGGCCGGGCTGGTTTCCTACCCAGGCGGGGCTGACATCACTGTTTCCTACCCGTTCCTATGGGCAGTGATTCTCTGATCACCCAAAGGTGCTGCAAATGCTGGGTGGCCCAAAGGAGGACATAGGTCCACCGTGCTGGCTGTGTGACCTTGGGTGAGCTGCAGAGTTTGTCTGTGTCTCAGCTGGCTCCTGGGTAGAAGATGAGAGTGGCCAGCTATGCAGCTGGCGTGAGGCTCAGAAGAGACACAGCCAGCATGTGTACATCACCAGCAGAAGGGCTGCACCAGCCCTTTCCCTATTTAACATCCACAGGACCTTTGCCACCTGCTGACCCCATAGCATCTTGCGCCACATCTTAAACAAAATCAGCTGTCCATAGAGGCCAGCAGGGCAGATCTGGAAGATCCAAATAATGTGAATGGAAAACCCATGAAAAAAAGAGATTTAACAACCACTGGTGATGACTAAATTGTGGTTAATGGCTCAGTTATATAATTTATTTTATCTTCTTTATTTTTTATATTTTGGAATAATGACAGCTGCATCTGAAAATAATGATATATGCACATTAATGAGTATTTAAGAAAAAGAGCAAAGTATGAAGAAGAAAGATACCACCCCAAGTTCTACCACCTAGAAGGAACCTTTTTTAAAATTTAGGTTGTTATTGGAAAGCCATACATATATATACATATACATACACATATATATATGTGTATATACGTGTGTGTGTGTGTGTGTGTATGTATACACACCTCCAGCTCTAGCCTAACCAGAGCTCAGCAGGCCCCTTTGCTGCCCCTGGGAACCTCAGGCCGGGCCACCTGCAGGAGTGCCCTTGGTGTATATCCTAGAGGTTCTGTTTGTCCTGGGACTCTGCCTACGGGGCCCTTCCCTATGGGTGGTCCTGCAGGCCTGGGCTCCGCTTCACCCTCAGTTGATTGTGCTGGAGCATCTCCTTGGCCCTGGTGAGAGCCTCTTCTGCAGGGACAACCATATGGGGTGTCACCCCCACCCCTTCCCAGGAGCTGCCATCCGAGGCCCCCACAGAACGGGCCGTGGGGATAGTGAGGTAGAGGTTGGTGTCATCCACGTGGTAGGTCTGTGGTGGCTGGCAACCCCCGCTGGTCACCTCCCCGATGACCAGGGCCCGGCCCAGCCTCTTCATGATGTAGGTGAACTCCTCCGCAGTGCCGGCCGTCACACTGCTGGTCAGAATGACCATGCTCTTCTTGGAGCCATAGCGTTCACCTGGAAGACATAAGGCCCTTCAGGATAGGGGTCATGTCAGGACCCTGGAGCACCTGTCTTCTCTATCCTGCCTGGACCTGCAGTGATGGAGGAGGCCCTGGGGTTTCGGTCTGTGTCCTTGTGTCCACTTGTGAGCCACTTGACTTCTCTGAGCCTTGATTTCTGCATCCGTAAAATAGGGATAAGAATGCATGCCTAATCACGAGGATTTCAGTGCTTGACAACTCCCAACGAGGCATTCTTATGCCAAGTGATAGGAAAGACTTGACTCTCCTGAGAAAGGGACGTCCTCTCTCTTCATGAATAATGAAAACACTTAAACTGACCTGACTTCCTTTTCACTTTGGACTCGGAAAAACCCAATTTGTGATGTCATCAGAACAACCCTCTAGGACAGCACTGTCCAACAGGAATGCAACGTGAGCCAGAATGCTGCCCATAGATGTCATTTTAGGTTCCCTAGTAGCCATGTTGAGCAAGCAAAAAGAAATCCCCGATGTTAATTTTAATCATGTTTTGTTTAAGCCAATGTATCCAAAATATATCCATTTCAAAATGTAATCAAATAAAATTATTAATGAGGTTTTTTTTCGTAATGTCTTCAAAATCTGGTATGCACGTTACACCTCCAGCACATCTCCACTTGGGAGAGCCACATTTCAAATGCTCGGCGGCCACAGGTGGCTCGTGGCTCCCATATTGGACCTCACGGTTCTGGGACCTCACTATCTGTAGAATTGAGTCTATCTTTAACTTCCAGTCTTGAACATCTATTTGAATTTAGAATTCACCTGGTTCTGATTTGTATTTACACTTCGTAATATTATTGAATGTATGTCTTACAAGCTACAGCAAAATGCCTGTGTATTACAGAAGCATGGACATGAAAATGATGGGGTGTTTCTCTGGTCACAGGCACACCCCCATTGATCTCTCCAGTCCTTTCTCGTTGGATAGGAGCACCGGTTCCTTGGTCTTACACACTGGGCAGGGAAGATAGATGGAGGCCGTCCACCCTGGAATGGGGCTTTGAGAGTCATGGTTCTGTAAAGCTAGCTCAGGGCCTGCCTTTGCTCCTGTAGCCACAGCTCTGTGTCCAGGGCAGTGAACAGAAGCCTGATGAGCATCATGACCTTTCCAGGCAAGTGTGTGGCACTGCAGCTGAGAGCTCAAGTATGGTGCGCACTGGAAATGCCCATTGGGGTTGGTAAGGGGCGGGGAGAATCCTTCAAATTCTGCATTTGTCCCGCAGGCTGGTGATCATAGTGCTAAGCCTGGGGGAAATTTTGGTATTAGACAAACTAATATTCACATTTTGGGTTCCACTTATTAGCTGCATGACTCTAGAAAAGATACTTGACCTAGTCAATCCCCACTTTTTTTTCCTCTAGAAAACGGGCGTAGTGATACATGCTTTTCAGGGATTCGAGATCATGCACATCTAGTGCCTGGACTAGGACAGGGCTTTACAGTCTGGTTACTATGACTTTTACCTACACTCAAGCTGTCTTTCCCTGGTTTCCCAGAAGCTTCTAGAATGACAGTAGAAAGGGGAAAGCTTCTCCACGTACCTACAACCTGGGCGTGTGTCCAGAGTTCACTGATGGAGTCATCAGGCCGGCTGTAGATCTTATCCAGCAGAACTGGAGGGCCTTCATCAAAGAAGTAGGAGCACAAGATGGGAATGGAGGATGTGGGGCCACCGATGTTGAACCTGAGGGACGGGAAGCAGAGCCTGTTCAGGGGCTGAGCTCACAGTGAGGCCCTCTGTGCCCTTCGGGGAGGCCAGGATCTTTGTCCCATGGACGGTTCTAATTCTTGGCAGCCTCAATGTACTGCCTCTTCCTCCTTTAGAATACCATGGGTTAGCATTTTCCAGAGTATTTCCAAGAGTACTAGTCTCTTGAGAACAAGAAACTTTGTGGTCAAATATGTTATCCTTTCCTTCCGCTATATAATTAACACATGTTAATATATTAAAGGACCAGTCGGGTGCAGTGGCTCACGCCTGTAATCCCAGCACTTTGGGAGGCTGAGGTGGGTGGATCACAAGGTCAAGAGATCGAGACCATCCTGGCTAACACAGTGAAATCCCATCTCTACTAAAAATACAAAAAATTAGCCTGGTGTGGTGACAGGCACCTGTAGTCCCAGCTACTTGGGAGTCTGAGGCAGGAGAATGGCGTGAACCTGGGAGGCGGAGCTTCCAGTAAACTGAGATCGCACCACTGCACTCCAGCCTGGGCGACAGAGTGAGACCCCATCTCAAAAAAAAAAAAAATATATATATATATATATATGTGTGTGTGTGTGTGTGTGTGTGTATGTATAAAAGGTCCTGACAAGTCCTGCAGTCAGAAACTTGTTGATCAGTTTCCCCCATTTATTGACCATGGACTACTCCCCTGCACCCATATCTGCCTATGAGTGGAACACATTTTGGGAAACATTGTTTTTCCTGGTTGCATTCTGTGACAATCTTATGACACCTACCGGCTGTCTTAGTTCAAGTGTCTTAACAGGGCACTTGGTGTGTTGAAATATTCAGGCTTGTGGAGCCACATTGGAAGAAAGGGAGCCTGCATTTCTCCCAGGCCATTTAGATTTGTCCCACTGTGTGACCTCACTGGGGCCCTGTCTCCCCACTGGGGCTAGTGACATGTTAAGCAGCCTCATCCAGTTGATGGCCTGGGATGACCTGGCTGGGTTCTGGGCCTGTGATGTCAGTGTCTGAACCTCCAAACAAACCTCAGGGGTGGAAGGGTCTTTAAGCAAAGTGCACTTGCAGGCTGGGGCCATCTCCTCTTTAAAAAGTGTAAATGGCATATTCAGAAGAAAGGGACTTAACATGAGTGTCATTCGGGTGCTCAACAGAACTTCTAAAGAAAAAAATGATCAGAGAGACCACAGGAGCCTCAAGCTCGGGCTGTGAACACACACAGAACTGGAGCCAGGGCTAATGTTTTAGCCTTAATGTTCCTTCTTCTCCCAGGGAGGAGAAGCAGTGGGTACAGGACTGAGAGCCACCTAGTGACCACTAAGAACCATGTGAGTGAGCACTGAGGGCTAGAGAACTGGAGCTGGGTGAATGCTCCTGCTCTGCCACCCCCTGCCACTTCTTTTAGACAACAGGGGAGCGTGGAAGGGTCCCGTCTGAGGAAGGCAGCCTGCCCATGGAGGGTGCCAGGGCATGTCCACCAATGGACCCCAGAGTCACGGGATGCCAGGTCTGGCCACTGCCTGAGGGTGCTCATCCACCTCCTACCCCTAGTCCATGATGTAAACTCACGACATATGAGGCACAGTTTTACAGAAACAGGGGGGAGGTGGCTAGCTGAAGACATCCTTCTGACAATCATTTGGTGATGCAAAGAATTCTTTTGATAACAATAGTGATTAATTTCTAAATTCTCCCTGTGCGATTTCCAAATTCTGCCTGTATGACGATTCATGTGACCAGGGTTGTCATGAGTTGATTTTGTATGACGTGAGGCGCCTTCCCAGGTGGGAGGCCTGGCTGTCTCACACGCCACTGGCCATCAGAATCACCTGGGATGCCTGTCAAATAGAGATTATCGGGCCTGTCCGCCGGAGCTTCTGAGTCAGTAAGGGAGGAGTGGGGCCCAGGAATCAGTGTTTTTAACGTCTCCTTCCTCTCCTCCCCACTGAATCCTATGACCAGGCAAATTTGGGGTAATTCTCAATCTGGAATGCACATTGGAATCATTGGAGAAGTTTACAAAAACGACCAGTGCTGGGCCCCGCCTGCAATGAAACAAGAACCCCTGGGCTAACTGGCTGGAGCCCTGATAGGCAGGAGGCCTGGCCCCCTCGGGCCCTCTGCTGTGTTGCAGGGTTCCTTTTCTTCCCTGCTGTGGCCCATAGCTTTGACTGTCCCCCGGCAGTCCTGCGTCCTGGCTGGGAAGCACCGACCCCTGGCCACTGACCTCATGTCGATGATCATGGCATCCGTGTGCATGATCTTCTTCCAGATGTGCTCCACCAGCAGCTTGGAGACCTGGGTGAGCAGCTCACCATCCCCAAACATGTCAAACCTCAAGTAGCCAATGTTGTCCTCAAACACATTAGTGTGGAAGGAAAACTTGATCAGCTCTTCAAAGACTTCAGGGGAAGGGATCTGTAAGAGTTGGAGGTCCTACTTAGTGTCAGGAGGAGCAGCCGGTTTTAGAGTCCAGGAAAGCAGGCACCACGGATCGCCTTTATGTCATGGGAAATATTAAGGGCATGGGACAGGAACCGACATTTCTGAAGGAGTTAGTAGATACCAGGGACTTTCCCAGTGACATGTCTGAGATGTGACATGCCACTGGGACATGTATGATCCATGGGCAGCCTCCTTGCAGAGGATGCTCCTGTCTGCCACCCACATGCCCTGATGTCCTGAGCTAGAAGGCCCAGGAATGGTCTCCCCTCTGACCTCTCCAACCTCACCAGATACTTCCTAACGTCTCCAAGCTCACCTTCCCCTCCACTGGGGCAGGATTGGAAGATGTTAGTTACCTTTACCAGGCGCCTGGCCCTGTACTAAGCACTTTGTAGAGCTTATCATCATCCTCACAGCCACCGGTGCAGGAGATAACATGATCCCCATCTTTTCCACGGAAAAACTGAAGCACAGAGAGATTAAGTAACTAGTCTCAGGTCACACAGTCAGTAAGTGGTGGAGCCAGAATCTGAATCTACATCTGACCCCAAATCGTGAACTTTGGCTATACTGGAAAGGAAGGAGCAGATGATTTGGAAACCGGGGATCCTGCAAGCCTAGCACAGGCTACTCCCACGTGGATGCACCTCCTCCTCCCTCTCTAAGGCTGCTGGAGGGAGGCAGGACTTGGTGAGCTTGACTGGGACCAGGAGCCTTCGTTGACAGAGACACCGCCCTCTAGGCCCTGCCCTGCCCTTAATCACAGCTCTCTGGCCCCAGGCCACTCCCCTCTGCTCCTCTCCAGGCCTCAGTAGTGAAAAATGGGGATAACAATTCTGTAGCAGATGCTTTTGGCACTCTCAGCCCCCTCTGCTTTCAGCTGCCCCTGGCCCCACTGACAGGCTCTCCTATAGCACAGCCCTGTCTTTTCACCCTCAGCTCAGGCCTTCTCCAAGAAGGGGGAGCCTGCCCCACCCTGAGTGATGTCCTCAGGGCAACTCTTGGCCAATGTGGGACAGGAGCCACTGGGCCCCACCTGCAGAGGACTGTGCCTGGGAGCATCCCCACACTCATCAGTGTCCTTGCTTCAGCAGAACAGCTTTGAGGCACCTGCTTGTCAGCTTCCCGTCTCACTCTCCCTACTCCCTCCTTCACGCCTGCTTCAGCAATGGCCTCCCAGACAAACTGCCTGCACTCAAGCCCTGGTCTCAGACCCTCCTCACAAGGGATCCCACGACAAATGCTGCCCTGCCCAATCGTGATGATGCAGCAAAACCACAGGTAGAACAGCGTGGAGGTGTGAGTGCTGCCTAGGTGGAACTCTCGGCCAGCGGTGGGGCACTGGGTGAAGCCCACGGCCACCTCTGCCAGGTGTTGGCCTCTTCCCCAACACTGACAATGAGAAGCCCTGCCATCACTCACCTTCCACCCAGCCAAGGCTGAAATGCCTTCTATCCCAGGGGCTTCCAAACTGGCTTCCTGTGAGTATTGGTTGGCTTTCAAACTGGCTTCCTGTGAGGTGGGTGCAAAAATAATTGCAGGCTTTGCCATTGAAAGTACTTTTGCACCAACCTAATATGCATGTTCAACAGAGGTGTTCAGCAACCCCAGGGTCACAGAGAGTGGATGGAACAGGTTGAGAAAGAGGAAAGGACTTGACTGGTCAAAACTTAAACATGAGAACAAATCTAAAAGCCATTGTCATGCACTGTGCACAGAGCCCAGCCTGTGCAGACAATGGGCCAACTCACTCCCGGGACTGGGCTCAACCAGGTCTTCCTTGGGTCTCACCTGCATAGGGACAATTCCAGGAATGCGGTCCTTGGCATTCTCAGGGATATGGGCCGCCTTCAGGTGTGGGTCTCCGGAGAGCATCTGCAGGTCGGCCCCCAGGATCTCGGCCAGGGCCACTTCTGAGGTCACCCTGGAGTAGCGGCTCTGCAGACCGCTCAGTTTGACAGCCATCTTGGCCCCCAGCTCGGCGGAGGCATAGTTATCAGCCACCAGCTTCCCGGCCGTCTGCAGCACCGTGGGCACCTTGGCACGCAGAGCCACGATGTCCTGGGCTGTGGAAAGGGCTTCGCTCATGGGCACAGTGATGTCGGGCTCCACGCCAGCCAGGTTCCAGGCCTTGCCTGTGGTGGCACTCAGGGCCATCTGGGTGGGCATGGATGCGTATAAGGGGCTGCTGCCCACCTGGTAGATGCCCACAGAGAGTGCCCCTCCAGCTGTGGGCTCCCCAATGACCGTGGCCCGCTGCAGGTCCTGCATGGTGTGTGCAAAGGCCTCGGCCGCAGAGCCACTGGTGTGGCTCATCAGGATATAGAGATCCTTGTGTGAGCCATAGCGCTGGCCCGTGACCTGAGGCAGGGTCCACACCTCCATGACTTTCGAGGTGGCCCTGTCAAAGACAGAATACAGGTGCTGGCGGGGTTCTGCCTCAAAGAAGTAGGAACAGAGCAGCGGGATGGCCGTGGAGTAGCTGCCAGGGTTGTAGCGCAGGTCGATCACCAGTGCAGCGGTGTCCACCAGCTGTTGCCATACCAGCCTCACAAGCTGTGGCCCGACGGCCTTCACTGTCTCCAGTTCAGCCATGGCGTCAAAACGCAGGTAGCCCAGCTGGCCGGGCAGCACCTCTGTCTTAAACAGGGCCTCAATAAGGTAGGTGAGCTCCTCTGGAGAGGGGACAGCAGGAGGTGGTGGGGGTGCTTCCTCTACCACCAGCTCACCAGGGCTGTGGAACACTAGCAGGCGGTGGTCCCCAGACACCTCCTGCAGGTCTGCTGTGAGCTGAGAGGCCAGAGACTCCAAGTCCACGGCTGTGCGGTAGGCGCCCTGGGCCAGCTTGGCCCGCAGCAGGGCACTGGTCTGGCCCACGACTTCTGGTCGAGCATAGTGGGCCTCCAGCAGGTGCCCTGTGCCCTCCACCAAGGCCCCCAGGCTCTGGTGGAACTCCAGCACTTCCTGGGCTTTGTCCAGGGCCTCCTCCGCCAGCACGATGGCATCAGGCACCACTCCACCACCCAGCCAGGCCTCGCCGTGATTGTCGATGAAGGTGAGGACCGGCACGGTGAGCGCCAGGCTGCCTTCCGGCGTGTCTAGCAGCGGCACAGTGCGGGTGTGCAGCAGGTTGCCCGCGGTGATCTCACCTACCAGCGTGGCCCAGCCCAGGGACTGCATGAGGAAGGCGAACTCCTCGGCGGCCGTGGCGGTGCGGTGGCTGGTGAGCAGATACACCCCACGTTGGGTGCTGTAGCGTGGGCCCGGTAGCTCCATGTGGCTGAAGTGCTCCTGTGTGATGTTGGTGCGGCGATCATAGGTGGTGAAGAGGTGCACGGGGCCGGCCTCGGGGCCCTGGAAGTAGGACAGTAGCAGCGGCACAGCGGAGGATGGCCCTCCGGGGTTGTGGCGCAGGTCCATGATGAGGTGCTCCGTGTCCTGTAACGGCTCCCACACCTGGCGCAGGACATATGGGGCCAAAACACCTAGCACGGAGGCGTCAGCAAAACTATCGAAACGCAGGTAGCCCACGTTGCCCGGCAGCACCGACACCTGGAACACAGACTCCACCAGTGCTTGCCGGATAGCGTCGTCCTCAGGCAACTCTGGGGCTGCCCCTGGTGGGTCTTCAGCTGCAGCATCGGGCACGGGCCCAGAAGGGGTTTCTCTGGGCCTGATGGCTCGCACCAGGAGCCTGGGATCCTCGGATGCAGCCTGCAGGCCGGCATTGAGCTTGGTGACCAGATCGTCTTCGGAGACCACTGTGGAGAAGTCCATGCTGGCCAGGTGCTGCAGCAGGGTAGGCACACGGTCCACCAGCGTGTAGTAGTCCTTCAGTGCCTCCTGGAGGCAGTGGACCACCCCTGGAAGGGCGCTGCGAAGAGTGAGGATGTCCAGGGCTTTCTCCAGGGCCTGCTCCGCCGGTGTCCCCACACAGGGCAGCACTCCGCTGCCCTCCCACGTCTGGCTGCCTCCACCCAGGGGCCCCAGGGACCTGGACACCGGCACGGTGAAGAAGAAGTCAGACTCGCCTATCCTCAGCTTCCGGAGGTCCAGGGCCCCTCCTCCAGTCCGCTCGCCCACCACGATGGCCCTGCGCATCTGCTTGAGGATGTGCGCGATGTCCTCGGCCACGCCTCTGGTCTGGCTGCTGGTGAGGACCACCACATCCTTGTCGGCACCGTACCTTTCTCCCAGGACCTGGGGCAAGGTCCAGATCTCCGTGGTGGTGTTGGAGGGGCGGTTGTAGATAGTGTCCACGTGCAGGATGGTGTTCCCTGGGTACAGGTAGGAGATGATGTAGGGAATGCCGGAGATCTGGCCTCCCGTGCAGTGCCGGAGATCCAGCACTAAGGCGGAGGTGCTCATGAGCTTCCCCCACACGTGGGCCACCAGGAACTCCCCCATCATGCTCAGCACCTCCTGGCCCGGGACACTGTCCACCCGCAGGTAGCCCACATTACCCTCCAGAACCTCATGGCGGAGGCCCCTTTGCAGCCAGGCAAGCAGTTCCTCTTCTGAGAGGCTGGTGAGTGCTGGGACTTGTGGGGGAGGCTCGGGGGTGCTGGGCTCATAGGAGATGACCAGGCGAGGGTCGTTCAGGGAGCTCTGCACCCCAGCTGTCAGCACACTGGCCAGCGTCTGCGGGTCTGAGATGCTCAGAATCTCTTGGCTCTTGATGGCCTGCTGGATGGCTTCCTGCATGCCCAGCAGGTTCTCTGGGAAGCAGTAGTTATCCAAGAGGACCTTGGCCATGTCCAGCACCAGGCTTGGCTGGAACAGGTGTGTGGGGCCAGCCAGGCCACAGAGCAGCATAGACATGAGCAGAACCCATTCTCTCATCATGGGACCCAGGGGGAGGCCTGGCTCTTGCACAAAAGCCCCCTGGACTGTGTGCAAGGCCGTGGCCCTGCTCTGTGCAGCTGCCTTCTGCCCTTGTCCTCCTCAGCTGGTGGACAGAAGGTCTGGGGCTAAACTCCTGAGTTGGAGCAAGGCTTCCAGCTCCAGTAAGCCTTTAATCCTGTCTAATTCAAGCACATCAACCCTGGGTATCGGGGAGGAGTGGCCAGGGTGGTTTGACCCAGAAGGTACATTGCATCTTATCTTGCTATGCTGCGTCTGCATATCACAACATTAATCGCTGCCATTATTTTAGTTCCTGCCACATGCCAGACACTGTGCTTCATCCTTTACAAGCTGACAGTTTCCACCAGAGCCTTGCAGAGTCCAGTTATTAACTTGCAAGTCCTCCTTGGAGAACTGGTTCTTCCACTGTCTCTCCCATGGCCTTAGGGAAGTGTCTTAATTACTTTTTGTGTAGATTAAGTGAGAAAATATGTGTAAACCACTTCTTCCCAGTACCCAGCAAGTAGGAAGCACTCATTACTGGCAAGTTCTCTGTATTAGATATTATCTCTGTTTCATAGCTAAAAAAAAAACAGGCCAGAGAGTTTTGTAACTAATAGAAGCCCATTGTTTTAGGTGGGGACAGGGGTTGCAGCAAGAAGCCCTTGGGGCTACAGTTGGCCCATACAGTACAGAGGCTGAGTCTGAGGCTGCCATCAGCCTCAGAGCCTGAGATTTATTTCTATGTACCATTAATGCCTCCAGGGAACAGAAGGGGTCCATCTACAGCTTTCTAATGCTAGGAATGATGTGTCTGGACCATCACGTAGGGTGTGGCATATAGAGGCGCCCACCTTCCAGGTATCACAGGACTAGTATTCCCATTCAGATGAGGTTAACTCTGAGAGTTAATGGCTAGAGGTGACTCCTGATTCTTGAAGGCTCAACCCACAGCCTGCCGTTTGCAGGGAGAATCAAGCAGGAAGTCTTGGGTCTCTGTGGTCCCAGGCTTCACATGGAATCCAGATCATTCCTTCCGAATGCATAGAGCACAAGAAACAGGGAAAGGTAGACTGCTGGACTCTTGAGATCCCAGCTCCTGCCACTTCTCATAGAAATAATGTGGGTGCTGCTTGCAACTGACTGGCTGCAGAAATCCAAGAAGTCCTGCTATGGGGTCGGAACCTGGAAGCCCTGCTTTGCCACTGAATGCCCCTGGAAATGGGCACTTCCCTCACTTAACAGACAGACAACTACTGCCCAGACAGTGGTCGCAAGGCCAGGGCAGAGTGTCGGGAGAGCTGTCTCAAGCTAGCTCCGGTAACACCGCCTTGGCTGAGTGGGCAGCAGGCAGGCACGCCTGTGTGCCTCAGCAGGCAGCTGGAGAAGGTGGTCTCAGGGACGTGGGCTTTCTCTGCACAGCTGAGACCCACAGTCTGCTCTTTGGAAATCATTACCTGAGGATGTTTACCAACTGCTTTATGAAGGCCAAAGAGGTCAATTAGCTAAAACAAACATATTTTTAGCTCATTAGGATTTGTGTAATGCTCAAGTGACATATGGTCACATCACTCCACCATATGCAGCCAATGGAAGTGAGCCTGATTTACTATGAGAATGGGGCGGGGCTGGGATGCTGCCAACACCTCCGGATGAATGCACTCCTTGCATATCCTTAGCCCTGCTGGGAAGGCTGGGCCTTTCTGCCTCCACTTGGAGAATCAAAGTTCTGAGCATGCATTTCCATGTCCTCAGAGGGCACTTGTCTGCCATCGCTTGAGTCCAGGCAAAGCTTCTGGCCCAGAAAGGGCTTCGGGGAGAACAGGAGTAAGACTGTCTTTGGGGAAAGGATTCACTGTAGTCTTACTAGATGTAGTTTCAGGATAGGATGTCTGGACCTATCACTGGGATTTGATTTGTGTGGCTAGCCCGGAGCCTTTAGAGGGATATGAGAAAAAATCAGCCTGTTGCAAGTCCCTGGGCTGCCTGAGTTGGAGGGGCATGGGTAGAGAGGCAGTGCATCTCCTGTGGGTAAGGCCCAAGCAGGTGGAAGGGCAAGTTCTGTCCTCAGAGTTCTCTGAGCTCCAGGGGTTGTAGGGGGATGTAAGCCGATGGCGGCCGGCTTCCTTAGCTCATGAGGAGAGTATGTTCTGGGTACGTCCCCAGAGTGAAAGCCTAGAGCTCTACGTCTTCCCATCCAGTCCCCGACAACTGTAGGCCCAGGGTGGGTTCAGAGAGTCCATTTGATCTCGGGGGCTGAGTTTTGGAGTTGGAGGGGGCTGGAAGGCCCTGCACCCCCTCACTTATACAAATGTCCTCTGGGCAGGGCTGTGGAGGGCAGCTTAGAAGCCACCCTGAACTGAACTGGTGAGAACTGAATAGGTGAGTGGGTGAGACCTTGATAAGGTGACATGAAACCATGATTAGGTGACTCGACTGCTCTGAGCCTTGGCTTCTTCAAAAGGGAAAAACAGAACAAGGAGAAAAGCCTCAGTATTGCTGGAGGACTAGGTCCTCCAGCAATAACCGTCCTAGAAGTTTTGAAAGGAAGTTGAGGACATAGGAGTTGGTGAGGGGCAGCTTGGCTCTGCCTGGGATTAGAACACCCCTGTGGTATTAGGGAAAGTCATCCCAAGAAGCTAGGGCTGCCCTGGAGACCTGGAGTCCTAGGGCTTCTTAGGCTCCAAACATTTTCTGGGCCTCTACATATCTAAGGAGAAATGCCCAGACCCAGGCTCCGGAGACCAGCGCTGCAGCATCCGCAGTGCAGGTTAAGAGGGGGACAATGACACATCAGGGCTGCTGCAGGGATGGTCAGGGAGCATGCGGAGCTGGGCAGTACAGGAAGGAGCGACTTGCCTATTGCATCACAGATGTTGTCTTTTCAGTGTATTGTTGTTTTATGTCTGTCTATTGTTTTATGTTAGTTTTCCCATCAATATTTTATAATGGAAATATTCAAGTGGTACAGCAAATATCTATATACTATCATTTAAAGAAATGCTTTGACATGTTCACATTTTAAAGAACTTATCTGAGCAGACAGCGATTCATGAATCCAGTAGCTCCCCACAAGAGGTGGTTTGGGGCTCTGCAACGGAGCACAAGGGGAGGTTTCCACAGGGTGAAGGCGAAAGTGGAATAAATATTACAGATGCTTTGGTTGCTTAGCGTCTCTGCCCTTGCATGATTTTTAACATCGTGGTGGAAAGTTCGAGACCGTGTAACTGATGTCCAGTTGGCCGTCAGTGATTGACTGGGCTTAAGCTTCAGGTTCTTTTAAATTAGCTGTTTACAGGAAATGAGTCTGAGTTAAGTTTCAATTTGCTCTTGTAGAAAATCAGGGCATTAGAGCTACCTCAGTTTAATGGCTGCCTCCCTAGATTCCACCACTAACATTTTGTTACCCCTTTCTCATCTCAGCTCTGCCTTACCAGCTTCCTCTACCCTGCGAGCCTCCTCTCCTCTGCAAGCCAACGCATTTTTAAATGCACTTCAAAGCAAATTGAACCTTGACTTTTTATTCATTTTACGTTATTTTCATTTTACATTTTTCTTAAATCAGAGGAGTAAAACATACTCATTTTGTAGAAATGTGCAAACAAACCTTTCCCAAATCTTTTAAAATCCAGCCTCCTTTAGTAACAAATAATCAGCATTGAATGTGTAGCCATTGTCACCTGTCTCTGCGTACACGCAGGGAGGTGCACGTATAGGAGAGATCCATCCACACATCTATAGGCAGACCATCCATTTGTCTATCCTATTGTCAGCCCTTTATTAGCATAGATGGTAATTTGCATTTTGTTTTACTCACTTAAACATACAACATAAACATCCTTCCCAGTTGAAGTATACTCATTAAATTCATCCTTTTAATGGCTACATATAGTCTGGGGATTCCTAATCCAAAAATCTGAAATCTGAAATGCTCCAAAACCTGAAACTTTTTGAACACCGACACAACACCACAAGTGGAAAAATTCACACTTAAGTACTTAACACCAACTTTGTTTCATGCAAAAAATTATTTAAAATATTGATATAATTACCTTTAGGCTGTGCGTATAAGGCATACTTGAGGCATAAATACTGTGTTTAGACTAGGGTCTCACTCCCAAGATATCTCATTATGTACATACAGATATTCCAAAATCCAAAGAGAATCTGAAATCTGAAACACTTCTTTCTCCAAAACTTTCAGATAAGGAATACTCATCCTACAGTAGTTCTTGATGATTTACTGATCTGTTCCCTTTGTGAGGCATATTTTAAGTTGTCTTTGTTTTTGCTTCAATATTGTTTCAGCCATATTGTGATAAATGTTTTTGAACACATGTTCTTAAGGGCCTAAGGTGCTTTTTCGTTTGTGGATAAATTCCCAAACCTGGTCTTGCTGAGCCAAAGGGCATACACACTTGTTTGTTTTCTTTATTGTGTTTTTTCGGTACCTTTTAAATTATCTAATAAGTGTGTCCTTTTTTTTTTCACAACTTAATTGATGTATAATTAACATATAATGAACCTATTTGAAGTGTATTATTTAGTCAGTTTTGACATGTGCGTACCCCCCCAAAACTCTCACCACCACCTGGGCAACTTATACTGCTGTCGCCCTCAAGTCTTCCTGGTGCCCCTTTGCTCCCCAGTCCCCTCTGCATTCCCATATCCAGACAAACATGGATTTACTTGCTGCCAACACTATAGATCAGCTTGCAGCTTCTAGAATTTGCTATAAATGAAATGATACCATGTGTATTGCTTTTTTATCTGTTTTATTTTGCCCAACATAATGATTGTGGGATTCACCCAGATTGCTGAATGTACCAATAGTTCATTTGTTTGCTGGGTAGCCTTCCATTGCACAGATGGACCACAATTTGTTATCCATGCACCTGTCGAGAGCCCTTCAGGTTGCTTCCAGTGTATGAATATTACAAAGAAAGCTGATATGAGCCGGGCATGGTGGCTCAAAGCTGTAATCCCAGCACTTTGGGAGGCTGAGGTGAGCCGATCACCTGAGTTTAGGAGTTCGAGACCAGCCTGGCTGACATGGTGAAATCTAGTCTCTACTAAAAATACAAAAATTAGCTGGGCTTAGTGGCAGTTGCTTGTAATCCCAGCTACTTGAGAGGCTGAAGCAGGAGAATTGCTTGAATCCAGGAGGCAGAGGTTGCAGTGAGCCAAGATTGTGCCACTGCACTCCAGCCTGTACTACAGAGCAAGACTCTGTTTAAAAAAAAAAAAACAAAAAAACGAAAGAAAGCTGATACAAATATTTGAGTGCAAGTCTTCGTGTGGATGTATGTCTTTTTTTTTTTTTTGGCTGGAGTAATACAATACCTAGGATAGGAATGTATATTTAACATTTTGAGAAATGACTCAATTGTTTTCCAAAATTTAAATTTCTACCAGCAGCAAGAGACTGCCAATTCCTCCACATCAATGGCAACAATTGGTAAGGGGAGACGTTTACATTTTAACGTTCAAATAAGTATGTTGTGGCATCTCATTGTGATTTTAATTTGCAATGGCGTTGAGCATCTTACTATATATTCATTTGCCACTTGTATGTCTTCTATGGTGAATTCGCTGTTCAAATCTTTTGCCCATTTGTTGGGGAAGGGAGGCAGTTGTTTGTCTTATTATTGATAAAGTAAAAGTTATTTTTATATTCTGGATGTAAGTCTTTTACCTGATATATGTGTTGCAAATATTTTCTTCCAGTCTATGCCCTGTCTTTTCATGCTGTCAACAGTATCTTTTGAAGATTAAAATGATGAATCCAAATTTATCATTTTTTTCCCTTTACAATTCATGCTTTTAGTGACACAGCTAAGAAATATTTGCTGATCTCAAGGCCACAAAATCTTTCCTTTAGTATTTTGTTCTAGAATTTCCATAGCATTAGGTTTCACATGAGTCTGTGATCTGTTTTCAGTTAATTAGATATCCAGTTGACCCCATGCTAGTTGTTGAAAAGACTTTCCTTGTTCTAGTGAATTGTATTGGCATCTTGATAAAAAAGTGATTGATCGCATCTGTGTGGGCCGATTTCTACAGTCTATTCCTCTGCGTTCATCTATTTGTCTGTTTTCTACCCACATCACACTCTCTTGTTTACTACAGTTTATAATATGTCTTGAAATTATGTAATCTGATTCTACTAACTTTGTTTTTCTTTATCAAAATCATTTTGGTTATTCTAGTTCCTTTGATTATCCATATAAATTTTTGATTCAAATCATTGACTGTACAATCACATTATTGATTGGGATTGAGTTGAATGTACAAATGAGTTTGGCAGACAATTTATCTCTTAACAATACTGAGTCTGCCAACCCATGCATATGCTATATCTCTTTACTTACTTAGGGCTTCTTTGATTTATTTATCAGTGTTGTGTGGTTTCACTATATAGATCATGCAAATATTTTGCTAGGTTTATACCCACGTATTTTGTGGAGATTTTTTTTTGGTGCTATTGTAAATGGCACTTTTTTCTTTCCATTTTAATGTACAGTTATTCATTCTGTTTTGATCATATATTTTACAACTTGCTAAACTCCTTTATTTATTCTAGTATACGTTTGGAAGAATCCTTGGAATTTTCTAAAAGGGTGTTCATGTTGCGTTTCTTGATCGACAACTTATGGATGCTATTTTTTATTCTTGTCTTATTGCCCTTGCTAGGGTCTCTAGTGCCTTGTTCATGATCTTAGGGGGAAAACATCCAGTTTACCATTAAGTATAAAGTTAACTGTAGATTTTTTTTTTTTTGTAGATGCTCTTTATCAGTTAAAAAATTCTCTTCTGTTGCCAGTATTTTGAGAATTTTTTAAAAATCATGAATGAGTTTTGAATATAGTCAGATGCATCTACTAACATGATGTTTTTTCTTCTTTAGTTTGTTAACATAGTTAATCATATTGACTGGTTATCTAATCTCGAACCAGCCACTCATTTATGGGTTAAATCTCACTTGTTCATGATGTATTAGCCTTTGAATATGTTCCTGGATTTAATGTGCTGGTATTCTGTTGAGAGCTTTTGCATGGTTATAAGGAATATCGCTCTCAAGTTTTCTTTTCTTTTGGTTTTAGTATCAAGGTAACGTCTACCTGATAAAAATGTTGGAAAGTAATTTTTTCTTTTCCTATTCCTTCCTCTTTCTGTTTGCTGGGAAAAGTTTTTATGGAATTGATATTGTTTCAAGTACTTGAGGGGCTGAGAAGTATTGTGCTAAGCATGTAAGGAGGGCTGGTTGTGCTTATACCTTATTCCTACTTTTCAACTGAGCATTTCACAGTTTTGTGCCATCAGAGGAAAAGATAACTGAAGTATCAGAACATAGATTATTCCAGCTGTTAATGATCTATATTAGAAAGTGTTCACAGCCTCAAAGATGACATCACTTGCCTGATGTAAGGCAGGAGCTGGAGTCATGAGGGCGCATTACCCACTGCCGCCTCCAGGGGGTGCTGTGTGTCAGGCAACGGAGCGCAGGGCCTTTGAACCTGGGTGAGTTCTGAGGTGTGTAAGGGACTCAGAATAGTGACCAAGGTCCCAACAGCCAGGGGCCCATCACCTACACAGTGGTTGGGTAGAAGGATGGAAGCCCGTTCTCTGCAGGATGGAAGCCCCTTAGAAGCACATGGCTGTCCTGCCCTCCCTGCACCACACCTTTTCTGTGCAGTGAGGACAGAAATTCAAGTTTTCAGACAATTAGAGTAAATTTCGGCCAGAGATATCCTAGAGACTGAACACAGGAGGGCGGGGCCTTAGGCGGTTTGGAAGGCTTGATATGCACAAAGAAATGAGGAAGCAATTTGCATCTGGAGAGAATGCATGAATGACATTGTTTAACAGGAAAGTAAGGCCACAAGGCTAGTGACCCAGGATCGGAGTCGGGTCCCTGCTGCCTGCATCTGCAGGGAATGTGCCGTGTTTATGGATGATGCCTTAATCACTCCCCACCCAGGCCATTTCTCCTAAGCTACTGTTCCTTCTACTTTGGGGATGAGGAAGCTGGGGCTCAGGGAGAGCACAGAACTTTCTCAAGAGCACAGAGCTAAGGAGCCATGGACCTGCTGAAGGGAGAGAGGATTCCACACACACTCCCGTGAGCTTTGGTTACTGTTGGTGTCATAATCCCAGGCACAGACTCGTGGCAGGAGGTGGGGTGGGGAGAGAGGCTCCAGCAGAGACTAGGACCCCTGCGGCTGTGGCAAGGCTGTGTCTCCAGTACCTGCAGGGCAATAGTCTAGAGGAGATGAAGGAGATGGACCCCGCACTGACAGATGCAGGGGTGAAGCCTGAATCCAACAGGCAGAGAACCCCGGGTGCCCTTCAGGAATCCAGGCCATTAGGTGGGATGACACAGGGGGCTTGGGAGTCGTTAGTGGAACACAGCCTTGGGAATCTGAGAGCAGGACATTGCAGGGTTTGGGAAGCAGGGTTCACCGGGGAGGGCTGAGAGCAGGGAGCGGAGCAGACCCCAGAAGGCTCAGGGCCCAGGACTGGCTTAAAGTCCGGGGACCGAGGCTGGGTCCACTCATCGGGATGTGGGCTCAACATGAGGACCGACTTCTGGGCAAGGCAGAGTATGTAGGGAGCAGGGGGTGCAAAGCATGGCCAGGCAACAGGAGGCAGCCTTCTCTCTCTCTCTTGCCTAAGGTGTCTGATGTGGAACTGATTCAAGGAAGTGGGGATGTTGGTCCAGGGGCTCAGGGTGGTCTAAGGTGAAGAGGTCCCTAGCAGGCATTTGCAGGAGTCATCCTCCCTGAGTGTCGTCCTTCATCAGCACCCTAGGCACTTTCTAGAAGCTGAGCAGGGATGCTGAGGTAGGTATCTCACCAGAGCACCACATCCACGAAGCCCTGTGCCGGGCGCTCCCCTGACAGTCCTGTGCTTTGGAAACCTGGGCTTGTGTGTTCTGAGCCTTGCTGCAGGGAGGACTTGGTCTACAGGGGCATCTGGCTCCCCGCTGGTGGGTCTGTCTCTGAGAAGAAAAGCCTGGAGTCTGGCATCTGAGGACAGCCTAACCGTGAGGGATTGGAGGAGATGCTCTGACTCATAAAAGGGAAGGAGTAGCTGGGACAAAGGCAGAATGGCTTTGGAAAATACTTACCGCTTCTGTTTGTACCCTGTCATGAAGATTGTCTCGTTTAATCTTTTTTTAAAAAAATGATTTTCTTGAGATACAATTCACCCATTTAAAGTATATAATTTAATGTTTTTTAGTATTCACAGAAATGTACGACCATTACCACAATCAATAATATTAGAACATTTTCATCACCTCAAAATAAAACCCTATAACCTTCAGCTCTTACCCACTATCCACACCCACATCCCTGCCTCCCAGCTCTAAGAAACCACTCATCTACTTTTGATTTCTATAGATTTTCCTGTTCTGGAATTTTTCATGTGAATAGGATCATATAATATGTGTTTTTTTGTGACTGGTTTATTTCATTTAGCAAAATGTATTCAAGGTTCATCCATGTTGTAGCATGTTTCAATACTTCATTCCTTTTTTTTTG